ACTAGTCACATTTCAAGTGTTTACTGATGGCATAAAACTGTTGGCAATTCTATGGGGCTGTGCAGATATGGGACATTCCCATCACTACAAAAATCTGGGGTGGACATTACCACCATCATTCTGGATCCACTGTAGCATACGTACCTCTGAAAGCTGAGTGACGCTAGTATTTCAGTTTTGGGAATGTACAAAACCTCTTTCTAGGTAGGACTTTGTATTATCTAATCCCATTAGCCTGAAATGTTCTCCCCTACTCTTCTTTGCTAGCTGCTTTTCTTTTTAAAGATTTGTTTATTTATTCATACAGAACTGGGGTACAGGGCAGAGATGCGGAGGGTGAGAGGCTTCACAAGAGACAGAGTCGGGAGCAGAACAGGCAGATCGATGAAGTACACTGCTGAGGGGAGCAGCGGGCGAGTCAGGAGAGGTCTGCCACGCCAGGTAGTCACCTCTGGGGCAGGCAGAGATCGAACTCATGCGGGAGTGGCTTTTGATTCTTAGTACAGTGCTTTAACCCACTGCACCACCAGGGAGGGCCCTGCTTTTCTTTTTTTAGGCCTCATCTTCTACAGTGGTTTTTCTTTGACCATCAGTCTGAAATATATACTTTCACCACAATCTCCACTATTTTCCAGCTCAGCTGTTTGGTTTTTCCCCTTCATTGACATTTTTGTAATTCACAATTATTTACTCATGTGTTTAACAATCTTTCCTGAGCCAATCCAATTGTATTTCTGTCACAACTGAAAGTGTTCTAGTTCAGAAAAGAATGTGTCTAAGTTACTCAAAATGACTAAGTCTGCAAAGCTATCAAGACAGCATAATAGAAAACGTGAAAGAAGCAACTCAATAAAATGGGGAAATTTTGTCCAGAGATCTGTCTAGGTAATCCAAATTCAAATTTAAATAACATGTTTTGAAAGATGGCTAAATAATTTTACCTAGACAAGAGGACATCCTTTCAAGTGGGAGGGATCCATATGGCTTTTTTTTTTTTTTTTTTAAGATTTTTATTTATTCATACAGAACTGGGGTACAGGCCAGAGGCTCAGGGGCGGTGACAGGCTTCACCAGAGACAGAGTGGGGAGCAGAACAGGCAGATCGACGAAGTACACTGCTGAGGGGAGCAGCGGGCGGGTCAGGAGAGGTCTGGCTCGCCATGTGGTCTCCTCCGGGGCAGGCAGCAGGCGGGAATCGAACTCATGCGGAAGTGGCTTCCAATTCTCAGTGCTGTGCTTTAACCCACTGCGCCACCAGGGAGGGCCCCCATATGGCTTTTAACATTTATTTTCTTGTATAAAATTTGAGACATAAATTGACATATATCAGTTTTGGTTGTACAGCATTTATCAATATCTGTGTGTTGCAAAATGATCACCACATAATTTTTCCTATGAAAAGTTTAGTAACTACACTTAGTAACTTACAGATATACAAATAATATTAACCGCAGTTACTATGCTGTGCAATTTATCCCCATGACTTGGTTTATTTTAGGCAGAAGTTGGTGCCTTTTGACCACATTGACCCATTTTGCCCACCCCATACTCTTGACAACTATCAATCTGTTTACTGTTATCTGTATGTTGTTCAGCATTTGTTTCTCAGATTCCACCTATAAGTGAGATCAGTTTCTTTCTCTGAATTATTTTACTTTGCAGAGTGCCCACAAATTTAATGTTACTGCAATATGGGAAGAGTCCATACTTTCCTTACGGTTGAGTAATATTCTATTGTGTATATACACAATACATACATATATGAAATACATACTCCACAATACATATTCCTTATCCATCCATCTTTATGGTAGACACTTCAATCGCCTCCCACATTGCCCTCCTGAGGTTGTGCCAATTTACATCCCCACCAACAGGGCACAAGAGTTCCCTTTTCTCTACAAATACGCCAACACTGTTTCTTACCATTTTGATAGTAACTATTCTGACAGGTGTGAGGGAAGTATTTTATGGTGGTGTGGCTTTTGCTTTTCCCCAATAATATATGGGTGAACAGTTTTTCATGTCCCGGTTGGCCATCTTTATGCTGCCTTTTGGAAAATGTCTATTAGAGTCCTCAGTCCATTTTTAAAATTGAGTTGCTTAGGCTTGTTTTATTTGCTGTTGAATGAGTTACATATTTTGCATGTTAACTTCACCAGAAATGATTTGTAAAGATTTTCTGATTCACTAGTTTGTCTTCTCCTTTTGTTATTGGCTTCTTTTGTCGTGCAAGATTTTTAAATTATCGTATCACTGATTTTTTTATGTTGTTGCCTTTGCTTTTGGTGTAAAGTCCAAAAAACAATCACCAAGACTGACATAAAGGTACTTGCTACCACTCAGTTGCCCGCTCCTTTAGGATCATAGAAAATGTGCCAATCAAAGGCCTGCCTCTTAGATCCAAACTCGAGGAGTAACAGACAGGCTTTCATAGAAGTGTGTGTGTGAGAGAGAGAGAGAGAGAGAGACACTGAGAGACTGAGGCTGACAGACTGAGAACAGAGACTGAGACGCAGCTCTCTCTCGTGTCATGTCATGGGTGTGGTATTTGAGCAAGAACCTACTCTCTCCATTTGTTAAAGCCTGATGGGACCCTTGAATAGAAGAACCTCATGCTTCCATAGCCATGTGATTAAGGGGTGTCCTGAGGGTAATCATAAAAAAACAAACAAACAAACAAAAAAAAAAGTGTACCAGATGGATGAACAAACTCCCTTCTGCTGAGAAACCAGTGCTCTGGAAATATCAGTATGTTTAAGTTTGAAGACAGAGGCTAGCCTTAAGTCCTTAAAGATGACTTGCTTGGATGTATTTAATTAGAAGCCAGCCCCCCTCAGAACTCAGCTATGAAGGTAAATAAGCTATGAAGGTAAATAAGCTAATGGGCTTCTTTCACAGTAAGACTGGGTAGTAGCTGATTAAGAATTGTTAGTGTTTTTTTAAAAAGATTTATGCTTACAGAACTGAGGTACAGGGGTAGTGAGAATATTCACCAGAGACGGAGTGGTGAGCAGAACAAGCAGATCAAAGTACACTGCTGAGGGGAGCAGTGGGCGAGAGAGGAGAGGTGTTCTGGGCCACGTGGGTCAGCCCTCTGGCTGGGGATTGAACTCGTGCTGAAGCGGTTTCAGCTAGCTTTGTATTGCTTTGTACTGCTGGACTCATTGAGCCACCAGGGAAGGTCTGAATTCTGTTAGTCTTGTAAGTCTTGCTAGTCACAAGTCATCTGATTTAGGGGTGTCCCAGGAGTTTATAAGCTCTTTCTCAGGAGATATGGCAAGCTGGAGCGATGGCAAAGGGAAAGCACAAAGGTGGTGCCCAATACTCTCCATCTTCAGAGTATGTCAGTAGGCCTCTAGACGTGTGTTAATGTAGATACCCACAACCCTAGGCTTTGTTTTACTTATTTACACTGTTGACTATTTTTGAACAAGTTGACTTTTCCACTCCTGTGTAGTCCCATAAATTCCCTACCATATCACCCATGAGCCATCAATATAGTGCCTTGTGCTCTTCCCTGTTTTGACCCATGTCCCTTCTCCTCCACTGCTGTATGTCAGGCTAATGTTTTAAAAGACTCAAAGTAGCCTCTCACAGAAAGCCTAAATATGTCAGTCAGCAGCTTCTGTACTGACCCTGGGATGGATGGAAGTCTGGCAAGCCCTTGAAGGACTATTTTTTAGTTCATGTAATTCTATGATTTTCAAAAGTAGATGTCAAGTGCCAGATGTGGGGTTTAAACCTTTCACCTCAGGGAGAAGCTTGGTATTACAAGTTCCCACCCAATTGTGGGTTGTTGTTCCCAGGATGGTTTGTAGAAAGATTGTCTGAGTCTCTTCTTAATCTAGACAAATTCATAATCCATCCGTTGCCACCTTGAACTGGAATCCATATATCTTTTGTAAATAACAAGTTCAGACCCACTAGTGGGTCTTCTGAGGTGTAAACATCACCAATAATTTATACCTTAATCTTTGTATAATTAATAAATAATTATAATCTCAAATAATAATTTGGAATATTCTGGTGATGACCCAAACTTTTAGGTTAATAAAGATAAGCCATAAAATCCTCATGTGGTTCAATGGGAAAGATGCTGTAGTAACTGACAAAAATAGAGTATCATATTTTTCAACATAACTTAGGCATACTTCTGTGAAATAGCAGTTAATATAAATTAGTACAACTGTTCACCAATTGGTGGGCACACCTGTCAAAATAAAACCTGCCTCTGTCTGTCACCATTTGGGCTGGAGGCATACTCTTGCCTTTTCTCTCTCACTAGACAACTCTTTAGTACAGTTGGACTCCAGCTGTGCTCATAGTAGATGGACAAACTTTATACAAAGATACATCAATTATGAGATTAGAAGGCCTTTAATTGCACTAGCAAACAATTTATAGACTAGAAGATGTTTTTGGAAATATTTCATTGAGACTTAAGTGCTCTTGGACCATAATTCAAGGAAAAGTCAGTAACAATATTTGCTTTAGAAGATCTTTCTGTGGGTATGCGATTAGCAATTACAGAGAACATATGAATTTTTATAGTTATGAGACTTAATAGTACACTCCCACTGGGCACATAGAGTTCTGACTGCTGTAACTACATGAACCAATGAACAGTTCAAAATTTAATATTGAAAAGATAGTCAAAACTAAAAGGAAAGAGATTTGACTTTATGGTAACTTTTAGTACATAGCCCTAAGTCAGTGGATAGAAAGGAAGACTATTACTTTTGTTATCCATAGTTCTGGTAACTAAGATTATAAGTTCTAGCACTTCAAATCATCCACTGCAATTATAAAGTAGCTTCCTAAAGGGGAGTCATTTTCTGGAGTCATTAAAGTGTTTTTTATTTTATTTAAAAAATACTTCCCAAATGGGGGGGAAAAAGGAACAGGAAAATGTGATTGTAATTTTTTTGTCCGTCACTTCAATTTTCTTTTATAGGCATTCAAGTCATTTGAAAATACTTTGGATATAAAACTTAGGTGGGTAACAACAGGTTTACAGTTTTAAAATAGCCGTGAAACACAATGGTCAAATTGTAATTTTGCTTGATTTCATTTAAGTATTCTCTGCCTCCAAGTTCTGTAGCTTGGAAGTCTTTTCATGAGTTAAATGTGTACATAAATAATTTGACTAACATCTTAATCAAAAGCAACAACCTAAAAAAAAATGTAGGAATTTCTATTTAATGTTTAGTTTTTTTTCCCTTCATATTTGTTCATTTTTGTACAATGTATGCTTGTATGCCTTCTTTCAGAAGAAATTCCCACAATCAATTTACCCATGAACCATCATCATAGTATTTGTCTGATTTATAGTTGCTTGGTGACTTTTTTTCCCCCCTGATCCCTTATTTGGTTCCCATATTCATCTGCTAAATTTTTTCCCTTCCAGCTTATTTCACTGAGAATAGATGATAGGATTTTGAAACTCAGATAAATTCTTTACTTACAGATGTCAAATAAGTACTTCAGCTTGAAAACAGGTAATAAAGAACAAACTAAATCCAGAACAAGAAAAGGGAAGGTACATTTATTAAAAATAAAAATAGTAGTCAGTCTCTGATAACAAACAACCATTTAAAAATCCAATATACAGGGTAACAATGCACATATACTTAGATTCTCTCAGTAACTTTTTTAAATCCTTCCTAAAGTATTCTGACACCTTCCTCTTTAGAGATCTGCTACAGCACAGAACATTGTTTCAAGTGTCTCATGCTGCAGAATAAAATCTTAGTTTCTATGGTGATGAACCAAAACAAAGTCAGTGGCCCCTTCATAAAAACTATTTGTAAGTACTCCAGTTTCTCCAAACCTACAGAATTGTTCACTCTAGATGCATTCACATTGTTTTGTGTGAATATCAAGGATGTGTGTAAAATCTAAAGTTACACAACCTAGTCTGTCTTTAACTTTTATGTCCAGTTCTTCATGCTTAGCATGACTAATGAATCTTTTGAGCCTTTTTCACTAACAATGCTTGTCATACAAGGAATATGCACTTCTGAAGGAAGATAGTACCAGAAATGTCACCAAGGTTCATTTTAAGACACACAGAGTTCCTGCTGGATACTGGCCTGTGACAGTTTGTTTTCTTCAGTCTTTTCATGTCCTGGACCCTGGCAAATAGCCTTCCGCCTAAATAATCGAAGACTCAGTCGTAGTAAGTCATTATCTACCATTGGCGCATTTGTGTAAGCTTGTTTTACAGTGCCCTATTTTGAGAAAAAAAAAAAAAAAAGCTACGTCAGATAACAGTAGGAATCATAGGCAGATTACTATCTAACAAAAGTAAGTTATACAAAAAACCTGAACATTTCCAGTACATGTTGAAATATATATTGATGGGAAGTACAGACTAATCTACATAATATTACCGCTTTTCCTCAAACTTAAATAAGCTATATTAGCTTATTGGTGGAAAATATTTTCCAAGTAAGGCTATAATAAGATAAAAGAAACATGGCTTTTTTGTGTTATAGTATTAGGTTTTCTAGTTTTGCATTCCTGTGGCACTCAAAAACTCCACTTTCTATTCACATCCTCTTCCCATTTCTAACTCCTGACAACCAATTATAAAATCTGTAGTTGTACCTTTCTCAGAACATTAGACAGATTTTATACTATATAATTACATTTATCCATGTTGTTGAGAGTACCGGCTGGTTATTTGCTAATAGTAATCCACTTTTCATCTATTAACTGCTGAATGAAGAATACTAAAATGGTTCCCAGAATTGGGAACTTACAATTGTCAAACACAAGTTTCCAAATGTAAATAGTGTGATCAGATTGTTACTAAATATTTAAATAGCTAAGAACTAACCCGAACCTATATGAGTGGGTTTACTTTTTGGATACACACAGCAATATATTGGCGTCTCAATTGCTCTGTATCCCCAGTGTTTCTGTTGCTTGCATCTTACAGTACTTTTTGCTTTGTACGAGCTAATGTTATAAACATTTTAGTGCTTAGCAGTCATTCATATACCCTCTTTGAAATTTCTTTATATCGGGACACTATTCATACTTGTATAGGGCTACTTCTGGGTTCTGTTTTACCCTAGTGACAAAATATCCACATCTTCACTAATATCACACTATCTTGAATACTTCTTTAAATACCTTGTTAAACTAGAGTTCTAAGAGTAACATCATTTGATACTTTTTACATAGACAATGAAACTAAATTTTTATTTTCAAATCTTGACAATGTTAAATAGTAAGAATAACTATCTGTAGGGGAAATATTTCAAAGTTGCACATTAAATATATTAGCTGAAAGACTACCATATGTTCTAGTTTATTAAGTTGGTACTTGTAAAGAAATGCTGAATTTTGTTAAATGCATTATCAATATTTTTTCCTCTGGTCTATTAGTTTCTGCCAGTAAGATCACCTGGGACCTTTAAAAATATAGGATATAAGTAAGTTCTTATCGCTTGTAGTTTTTAGAAAAACTGATTCATTTTATATAATCTTGACAGCGTGTATTACGGTTATGGCTTTTTATCCTACATGTTGATATAATATAAAATTCAGAACATTGGTTCTTAATGAAAAATCTACAGGGATGTTTTAGGTCTCCACAACAGATTAGAAATTCCACTAAAAAAATTTTAAAACCTGTATAGCTAGAAACAGATGTGCACTGCAATTTTTACTTTTGGTAAAAGACTCAAATGTTTAAAAGCAAGGAAGACTATAATAGATCCTTCCACTATCTGTTTTTATGGCTTTGTTTACAACTGATACCTACCAAAACAAAAATCCTGGCCTCTATAAAAAAACCTCACTATTTCTCATGTTTCAATTCTCTTACAGGTGAGTATAACCTTTTAAGAAATAAATTTTCAGGTTGTCTCATTAGCTATAACAATTTCAAAAGTAAAACATGAAAACTAGCCAAAACAAACAGATATATAGAGACCTTAATCTCACCTTCAAGCAATCAAATAAAATGTCATCCACACTAGTCAACAAACACTGCATTTTTGAAGTGTACAGTACCTTCTCATTTTTAACAAGCTGCTTTCTGATTGCAGAATCCCGTCTGAAGCACAATGCTTTACAACATGGTCCTAGATTACTAAGAAGGTTTGCTCTTTCTTCTTTTCGTAGTAATGCAGCCATGTTCAGAGCCCCCAATTCATGTTCAAAAAGATTTTCTGCATCTTTAAATAATGAATAGGTAAGTTTATACTGTATTAAAATTATGAACATTGTTTAAAAAAAACCACCTCAAACAAAACTAAGTATTCTGGTAACCTATCAGTGGAAAGTAAAATTCAAGGTATTCTCTACTCAGATTTTGCTTAGGTGTGAAAACAAGGGACAGCTGAAGATAAAATTGTCTTATGTATCTCATGTCATAGACCCAGAAAATTGGTTTAAGAAAAGCATGAATATGTAAAACTTTCAAGGCTAGTTCACAGAATCTTCTCTACTGGATGAAGATGCCTAGGAAAAAGGCAGAGTCCCTCAGGTAATTCAAGCATACCAATTTTGAGTTAAACAAAATGAATGGTGCCATATGAATACTATCAGAAAAAGCTCAAACCCTAGTTATTAGTATTGTCCTACAAATATAGCTGAAATTGTTTTTGCTCCAAAGAACTTAATCAGTTAGTGCACAAATATTTCCTGAATGCCTGTTAGGCTTTGTTCTAGGTATGCCGTTATTTAGGCAACTGTCAGTATTCTAACAAAAATATACCAGTAGTTAAAAAATGGGCTGATTAGTAGTAAGCACAGTTTAGGTTATCACTAAATCAGGCTGAACCTGTGTTGGCTACACAGCAAAGGAATAGTAATCAATATCAAAGAAATTAAATGCTATAGTTCTCACCTTTTCTATATCCTCATTAATAGACCACCAATACAAAACCAGAAAGTATCCATAAGAAGTGTTCAAGAATGGAAATATGTTGTAATAAGATTCAATAAATGAATGTGATTGTTTTCAAAATAAAGTAAGCTTCATTATTCTACATAAATCACCATTCTAAATAATTCACTCACCAGCTGCTAACAATCACAAAGTTGGTGGCATAATATGTTCAACATTAATAACCACAAGTAAGTAGTATTTTGTTGTTTTTGGAATCCAGACCATGTGGCTAATAAACCACATTCTCACCTACTTTATTGAAGGCTCACTTCCCAGGGGTAAGGATCAAGACATGAACTTTCCAGGTTCTGCTTTAGTGTGGGTAAATAAGTACTTTGACATTCAAACTTACTAATTTGGATTATGAGGATTAAATAATAAATGTACTACCATCATACAAAGAAGTGAAATGGCATTACCTTTGGGTTTTTCTAAAAGTCTCTGACATGTTTCTTTGACTTTGGTAAAGAGTTCAGAACCTGCCAGTTTTTTAGAAATTCCAACTCTCAGCATAATAGCTCCAGGTGTGAATTTTAAGAGTGCAGCCCCAGGCTCCCGTGGTTCTTTTGGATGCTTTGGCATAAGACCAGACCAGTCTACATCAATCACATCTAACGGATCTGTAAAAAATAAATATTTGTACACCAACATACAGCATTTTTGCTATTTAGAGACATAAACTGCAAAACACCAAAAACATTACAAACAAGCATTTTAAAAGCCAAAAACTCATACTTAAAATGAACTTTCCTGCAAACATGTACAATCTAAGAGCCTCCACAAATTAAAAGATGCCCAATAAAAATAACCCCATAATATCAATACCAGAGTGCTTTCAAGAGTTAAAGATTTCTTTGCACACATACATATTTACTCTTCAAAAACAGAAAAAAAAAATTCATTGACTGCTTAAAAACTAGACAGTGGCTATTTATTATATTAATAGTAAATAATCCAACCACTGATAAAGAACAGCTGAGGGAAGTTAAATTCTCTGGTAATACACAAAACACTAATAATTACTAAATTTATAGAGGTAGATAGTGTTCAAATATAATTTCATATACCTACCATCTAGGAAACCATTTGGTTAGATTCCAATTAACTCAGTCACTTAAACTCCGGGAAGTAAATCTTTAAAAAGGACCTTGCTCAAGAGTCAAATTCTAAATTTATTTATGCATACAGTACTGGGGCACAGGTGCAGTAAGAACATTCACTATAGAGTGCGGAGCAGATCACCTTTGGAATGGAGATCGAACTCATGCTGAAGTGGCCTTAGCTTCTTAATGCTGTGCTTTAACCTGCTGTACTACTAAGGAGGGCCCTGAACAAGGCCTCCTTTTCTTAACCCACAGTGGTGACTACTTGAAATTGAGCATAGGGACTATATATATAGCTTTCTCTCACTGGTCTTTCATCAACTCTTATGGCATGGAAATAAATAAAGAATACTTATGACAATAATTTTTATGTCTAACCACCTCTAAAATGATTACCTGGCATTTTCTCCTCATCCTGTTGGTCTTCTCTCTTTTCAGCATCACCTGCCAAAATTTCATCTAGCTCATCATCACTTATTGGTTCGTATCCTTCTCCAGCACCAGATCCTAATGAATGTGCATCATCTAACTTGGATTCATCATCTGCTAAATATTAAATAAATTTCACGTCAGAGTATTAAGGGGAAAGACGAGGAGAGATAGAAGACCTATCTCAGCATTTTTTTTTATTAAAAAAAAAAATTCTTATTTAAAATGCTTGATTATTCCAGTAGAAAACTTGGCAAGGACACCAGTATCATGATAGAAGGATAAAAAGAAATAAAAGTCACCACTACCATAAATATTGTACGGTGTTAATTTTTAAATTATTTCAAACTTTAGAACAGTCAATAATGCTCTTCCTGCCTCCAAGTTCCAGTGTTTTCCTTTAATAAAGTCTTAAAAATATTTTTGTCAGTACCTCTAGGACACATGCTACTCTTTACTTTTATTCAGCTTAAGTTCTGAAGTTAAAAAATTTTTCTGAATCTACAATAATCATCTTCCTGTGCCCCGAGCCAATTTACTTCTAGGGTAATTTTAACTTTGTTATACAAATATGTATCTAAACAAATGCAGACAACAGGATTTTTAGTTTTCCATGACTACCCAATTTTCTGTAGGTAAAAGTATTTTTTCATCTCACAACTGGCAACTCACCAATATATTTCCATGCTATTATCTGTGATACCAGTCAACTATATTTTAAAAGAATAGATTTAAACATGATAAAAGTAGTATACTGATCAGTTCAATTATAAGTTGTACTTCCCTCGATTAGTACTATGGCTCAAGATTTGAATCAAAATTGAGATGTAATGTAAAGAACTCTGAAATATAGACATGTTTTTGCCAAGCAGAACAAAATACACTATCAGATGGTATAATGGAATACATCTAATAACTAAGATTTAAGTTTACAGTTTTAGAAGCAAGTGACTTTTAGTCTGGGCCAAAGGCCACAATGTGGCAAATAAAGAGTATTACTGCATGTATAGTAAGTATTCCAGAATGTTCTTGAGGGCATGAAATGGAGAGACTGTGTCAGAACTATGATGCTAGCAGTGAGGCCAAGAACCAGACAATCCCAAAGAGGTAAACTTTGCAGAATTCTCAGAGCCAATATTATTTACCTAGACTATAATCCACTACAGAGTAGGATGTGGGGCAAGTATACACACAGAATATATTTTCATTCATCAGTCATTAGAGTACTGGAAACAGTCCTGATAACAAATGAAAAACTATGGCTCCTAAAAGAAAATATAGTGAGAAAACCAAAGAAACTATAATACAATGTGGAGATGCTATAAAAAAAAAAAAAAAAAGGTGCTATGACAGTTTGATAGAGTAATTGCATTTACCAGAGGTTTTAGAGAGAATAATGCAGCGACCTGGGACTTTGTCTAGCAAGCAGGAGATAAAAGGAAAAAGATGTGAAAAGTCACTTGGAAGAGCCAGTGCAAGGAAGATTAGAGAAAACAGCCCATTCAGATATGGAAACATGAGTATGTATGTATAGCAGATGGGAGTGAAGGATGGAAAGGGATGTTCCACACACCTGATGTAGGCTCTGACTGGGTCAGAGGATTACTGAGGACTTCTTGGCATTCTAGGGGTACGAAGTACCAGTAAGGCTCTATAATCAACCTATCGTTAAATGTAATCTCAGCTATATTATTGTTTTATATATTTGTTTTCAAATGCCCTACAAAACAGACACCACTAATAGCTACCTGAATTCCTCTTCTTTCTCTATTTTTAACTCCTATGAAAAGCAATAACTAACATCTACAGACACTGCATCTAAGTAATCTTGTTATTTCACTTAGGCTTATTTTAACCAACTCTACCTTGATAATACTGGTGAAACACATTTTTCAAGTATCTTAATTTAAGGCTTTTCCTTAAAAACCAATGGAGTCAAAAATACAACTTTTGAAAATATACTTCCCCTGAAACTGAAAAGGAATGGAACAATCTAAGAAACAAAAAGGTTTCCACTCACCTTCCATGCTCTCTGTTCTCTCAGCTTTATTTATATCTTCAAATCCCTGCACAGATCCTAGATCTTTATCCAGTCTTTCTTTATCCAAAGTTAGAGAGTCCCTTGAGGTGCCTTCTAGTTCTCTTTCATGTTCACTTTCCAGTTTGGCTTCACTGCGTTTCCCAGATTCTATTTGAGAACTCTCAAAAGTTCTGTCTCTGTCCCGATCCCTTTCCATAGAATCAGTAATTAGTCTCTCTCTTTCCCTCTCCAAATCTCTCCTTTTGTCTCGTTCTCTCTCTCGTTCCCGCAATCTATCTCGGTCCCTGTTCCTTGGCCAATCTTTATCAGTATCCCGGTCCCATTCTCTCTGCCTTATATCTCTCCTTTCTCTCTCCCGCTCTCTATCATACTCATATCGATCTCGTTCTTGAAGCCTATCTCTGCTATCAAAGGACCCAGATCTTGAATGGACTTGTCGATCTGACTCAGGAGAACTTCTTCTTGAACTATGGCTTCTGGAATCCTGGCGATCTATTAAAAAAACAAAACAAGACATATATATTATCTATACACACACACACACCATATGCCAAGAGATCACATAATAAAATGGAAAATTTCAATGCTTCATTTTAGGGTGCTTTATATTTTTCTGTATGTATTCCAATTTATTCAAACACTTAATTTTAAGGAAAACCGGGCTTTTCAGTTAAAGTACTAACTGAAATTTAATAAACATGTTTCCTTCTCTTGTCTGTTTCCACTATAACCACAAAATCTCTTCAAAGAAATAAGTTCATGAAATGGTTAATCATGACTAAAACTGATCATCTTATTGTTTGAACTCTTCCTATCCCCCTACCTTCCTTTCTGTGCTCAAAAGAGAAAGTATTAGCTGCAGGAAGAAGAGCAAGAATGTTAAATTTTTAGATAATAAGGGACCTGAATACATAAGCCCTCACCAAGATATACTACTCAAATTCTGACATTAAACTAAATGTTATCATTACATGTACCTCTATGAAATGTTGGCATTGATGTGGTAACAGGTAACATTCTGGTGGTATAAACTTTTGTTTCTTGAAATTTAAGGCAGTGTTTAAAGTAATCAATTTAGCATTTATTTTAAAATTATAATTTGTACATAATATACTAACATAGGAAACATTGGCTAGATTATAATTTAATTTTACTACCTGAAGAAGTACTTCGACTGGGTTCTCCACGCTTTAACTGGTCAATTCTAGATTTTCTCTCTCCTGTTATCTCCATGCTTTTTGTTTTTTCTCTATCTCTTGAGCCACTATGAAGTACTCTTTTTCGACCACCTTGGTCATCTCCACTTCGATGGGCAGAATCATTGGATGGGGAGCGTAAGCGACCAGATGTGTGGCTACGATTACTCCGATTGCTCCCTAGACTGCTACTCCTCTTTTGATCAACTGGCTTGCGATGTGGTGCATCTTCTATAGTAACATGAGGTGCCTCGACTTTTTCCATTCGTGTTCTATGGCATTTTCTGTGTGAGTCTTCACTGCTAAAAGTAGTATTGGTGGAGATGGCAGAGGCAGAAATGGTGGTAGATGTGCTGAAGGTTGTGGTAGCATTAGTGGATGAAACAGTGGCAGGAGGAGGAGGAGGAAGAAGGGAAGATGGAGAAGGAGTTCGCCCAGGAGTAACAGCTGTGGCGGCATGCTCCGGTTCTGTTACCTCTGCTCGGTCAGGGACGTCCTCATCAGACCAGTCACTGAATGCTGTATCTTCCTTTTTCTGAGAATCCGTCATACTGCCATCCTTATCATTGGAAAGCTCAACCATTTCCTCTATGGCTATTATAGGGGGCGTCCGTGGCCCTCTTTTCTTCTTACTCTGTTGGGCTGCTTCTTCATCAGAAATATCTGAATCACCTTTGGACCTTTTACGCTTTTTTTCAACACTTTTCTTCTTTTGTCCTTTTTTTGGTGAAAATACTTGACCATCTTCAGATGTCTCGGTATTATTTCTTTCTATTCCAATATCATCCTCTTTCTTTTTCTTAATAGGTTTCTTTTGCATTTTTGCCTTTTTCTTGTTTTCATCATGAGCTCGATCAGATGCATCTCGATCTTCAGATGGGTGGTGTCCTATCATGTCTTGTTGACGAATTCTTGAGCTTTCTGTGATTTCTAACTGTTCTCTCTGCTTCTCTACAGAGGAAATTTTCTCTTTGAGCTCTTGCTCTTCATAACGTCTTGAACTCTCTTTTCTTTCTGGTTTACGATCATCTTCTTTCCATCTACCCTGCCTGTCTTCTATAAGGTGTGATGGACTGATAGAACGAGACTCTTGAGGTCGAACAACCTGGCTCAAGAGTCTATGTTTTTCATCTATACAAAAAAGTTTAAAGTAATCACACTTACACCAGGTTAACAAACATTGCAAGTTATATACAATTAATAATAAACCATTCTCTCCTCTCATTTTAAGACCTTAAAAATGGCAATAATAACAGTAAAAATACGGCTCTACTACAAATAGTAGGAAATGACAGTGCCATTATGACGAAATGACTATTTCCAATATAAACTTTAGTCACAGACGACACACTGAAGTAACAAAGAAAAAATTTAAAACTTAATGCATCATTTCCTACTAATTTCAAAGAAAGGTCTCAAAGTTACAAATGAATATATCAAAACATACAAACACAAAAAATAGATTTCTGCTTACTTTTATCATCTCCACTGTTATAGGTGTCACTGTCGGGAGAATGTTCTCGCCGGCGCTTAGGTGACTGACGAGGGCTAGGACTTCCCTCATTTCTATAGCGTTTCCTAAATTAGGCAAACATATAATTTATAAAATACCAACAGCGAAAAAAATATTTCCTTATTATGTGTTTTACCATTACTTCTTTAGGTGTAACTAGAACATAATAATTGCAGGATATAATACTTTAGGGTAACGTCATACAAATGATATTCAACATCTTTAATAACATTTCATTTCTTATGACTTACAATTGTGGATTTAAACTATGTAGCCACAAGTCTTCCTGCCTTCATTGTACATGTAGAGTCACTCAAATGAAAATCACCATATTTCCATATTGCAAGATGGTAACATACAGCAGAGGAATCAACATATTAATGTACCCTATACTAAAACTGTTTCACTAATTTTACATTTTTATGTATAGAAATATCTTATTTTGGAAAGTCAAATGAGTAAATCTCATATTGGCTTTGAAATAAAAAAGACAAGCAAGCATTCAACTTACAATCATGTTACTTACTATGCAACCTTAGGCAAGAAAGTACCCTGAAGTCAGCGAAATTTAGTTTGCACATTTGAAAATGGAAGGAAAAATGAGTTTCTATCTCATAAAACTGCAAAGAGGAATAGATTAATCATCACATAAGCCCAATACCAGGCATACTGACACACTATATAGTTCTCCTCAGACCTTAATCACTTGCTAGGTGACTAATCATCGAATAATTTTCCTCAATGGGTATGCAGAAACAAAACTAATCCCAGACAAAAACATGTCAAAAAAAAAAAAACACTAGAAATCGAACTGTAGAATCGAGGTTACCACAGTGGGGAGGGAAAAGAAATGGTGTGAAGGGTGGCCAAATGAACTGTGAGTGCCACGGTGGTAGATAGGGTGTGGAAGGCCCTCCCTGGTGGCACAGCGGGTTAGAGTGCAGCCCTGCAAGCCAGCCACAGCTGCTTCACTGCCAGTTCAATCCCCCATCCCGGAGGTGATCCACATGGCAGGCCGACCTCTCCTGACCCGCCCGCTGCTCCCCTCAGCAGTGTCCTTCTTCGATCTGCCTGTTCTGCTCCCCACTCTGTCTCTGGTGAATCCTCTCATTGCCGCTGCACCTCTGGCCTGTACCCCAGTTACATATGCATAATTCTTTAAAAAAAAAAAATTAAAGAGATGGTGTGGAAATATGCATCAGAAGAGGTGTAACCTGTATCTCTGAAGTATAATGCTATTGTATGCCCACATTATCTCAATTACAAATAAGTTTAAAAATAATTCATATGATCACTACATTTCTGTTTATTGGCTGAATCTGAAATGAGTATTGATTTATATCTGTAGGCACTTAATTTTTCTAGCATTTTCCTTAAATTTTGCCCAACTTTTTTTTTTTTTTTTTTTACTAATAACATATAGAAAACTATGGTCAAAGTTAAGAAACCTACTGTAGCATATGCTATTTCCTTGACAAGTGCCATGTGAGAACGGTCATACAAACCTTGTTGTATTACCAGACTGACTGCAGACACATGAATGATAAAGCTCACTTGACTAGCAGAATAACTGCTGTGCCAAATCCAGTCCAAATAACAAAAATAAAAAAACCTTTCTTTTAGGGTGACTGGACATACTGCTAGAGATAACTGATTTAACTACCATAAAGTGAAAATTAAAAAAAAATTTTAATTTCTAGAAAATATACAGTAACCATAAATGAGTATTACAGAAATTCAGCAAACTAACAGTAGATTAGTACAGTGCTAAATTCAACTAATGAAACAACATAACTGATGAAAACATCTCATATCCATTTATAGGGGTGTTTGATGCCTCCATTTTTGGGGCCCCAGTAAATATTTGGATTGTTTAGCCACACACACACAAAAAAAAAAAAAGCAATAACTTTTCTGTTAAAAGCAGATCAGAAACATGGAAAAATACATGTTAATTTATAGGACAGGATAATATAAATAACAA